CCCCAAAACCCCAAAACCCCAAAACCCCAAAACCCCAAATACGAATTAAAAAATAGAAATAAAATGTCAGTTTATTTCCCAACTGAGAACGAACTAATCAATTGCCCAATCACTGGAGACCTCAGGATTGGAAAGAATTTAGATAATTATGGCAGAAGCGGAGGCGCTGCTGGGACAAGAACTAATTTTAACCATAATACATTCAAGCAAAGACTAGGGGATACAGCCATGACTTTCTCCTCAGCGAGTGGAGGTCAAAACAGGGTCAGAGATTATTTAACTAAATCAGGTGTATTTCATCCAAAGCTGTATAGAAATGATGCAATTCCACTTCTTAGGTAATAAAAATTCACTTTTGAAATCCAAAAATTTCAGTTTTTATACTATCATAGAGATGAAAACGCAACAAATGGAAGACTCTCAGAAAATAAATTGATAAAATAGCGTAGCCAGAAGATCTCTATCTAATCACAGAATTGGAGATACTTCCTTATATCTTGAAGACCAAGATTACATCGTAAGTTGAAAATAGATGTAACACTTCTCTATAGAACTTGCGCCAAACATTTGATAGAAATAGCAAGATATTACGTGAAAAAAGACGAATGAAAGAACCAAGTAAATATGGTGATTTTTTCTCAAATGAGTCTTTTCAAAGAAATAATAGCCAAATGCCTCACAACAGTGATTCAAAAGTACCTTCAACTTTGCAAAGATTTTCCCCTCAGGAGACCCAATCAAAGCCTAAATTCCAACACAACTTAATGCTACCGACCAGGAATGGGAGAGAATTTAAGAAACTGCTAAGCGGGAGCAAAAATAAGTTCCTAGAAATGATGAAAAATAAACACAGATTAGATACCATTAACTTTAAACCCGCTAAAAATACAGCTACTATAAAGCCCATGGCTGAGGAGATTCTTGAAAGAGGCAGCAGGTATAAATCAATGGATGAGAAGGCTACTCCCAAACCTCACGTTCCTAGAAGAAATCTGAACAACTATACACATTTAGCTAATAGGGCTTCATCTATTTCTCGAATAAAGGCTCCAACTGTTCCCATGAATAGTTCTAAGACTATCGAATCTCCTGCTCCTAAAATTGAACAAAAACAGACTAATATACCTGAGATATCATCAAAACCAGCCTTAGCTTCTAAGAGTATCCTCAAGAGAACTCTTAATAAAGCCTACAAAACCACTAGCTTCCCTAAAATGAGGAATAGTTTTGCAGCACAGCCTCAAAAGAAGGAAGAGATTAAAATTCAGGGTAATATTTTACAATTCCTAAACCTAAAATTAATATAGAAAGCTTTGCTTCCAGGAATGCTGATCAAATCTCAAACCAGAACATAACAAATGTAGAGTAAAAGGTTAAAACATATAGTATCCCACTACGATTCCGTCATCTACAATATTTCCGAAGAGGACAGCCAAGCGCGCCATGCAAAAAGGCTTTGCGAAGACCACAAAAGTGATTAAACCTACAGACCAGTCTTTGGTTGGTTAGAATATATTCAACTTAGAAGATTCTGGATGGGGTTTTGGGGTTTTGGGGTTTTGGGG